CTCCCCTGCCCGGCTCTCTGACTCCCTGCCCCCCTCCAGCACCCAGCTCTCTGACTCCCTGCTTCCCCTTCCCCCGCCTGGCTTTCTGACTCCCTCCCTCTCCCCCCTCCCCCCGGCTCGCAGACAGAGAATTTTCGCAACGACAGCGAAGGCACGCCGAGCCCCTTTTTGCAAATACGTTCGTAATGCATCCCATTTTGCACCGGTGGACACGTGATAGAGTAATGTTAAAACGAAAGGGGTGTTCAAATTTGTTCTTTACTTTTTGTCTGTTGGTGTTCTCGTTTGTCTAGCTGCTCGGCTGCTCTCTGATAGCAACGTTTGGGTTTGCTACATGGGGTTATGGTTGCACTCGAAAAGGTAAAACTTGGTGCAGCTACAGATCCCGAGTATAAGTCTGTTTTCTCTTACTGTAATGCAGTTTGATGACATAGTTGACTGTATTTTTTTTATCTGTTTAGGACCAATGCAACAGGTAGTGAGAACCAGTCCGCAACACTCTGCCAGTGTTAGAGTAGTAGACCGAATGGCTTCAACCCAAGGCTATAAGACTGTCACACAGCAGGTACGGTCAGCTGTGATGTGTGGGTTGCCACACACTGTTCCTCACCACATACTTTCAAAACATTGCACGTAATAGCAGATTGCGTATTGTCATAGATAGAGATGCGTTTAGGGATACGTTTTTATTCTTGTGTTTATGCAAACTCTCTTATTCCAGCCATGGGTAACCGAAACCAGAGACACTAAAGATTCTGCAAGTGCATATTTGAAGAGGACATTGACGGAACATGTTCCACTGTCCTTCCCATCACTGCTTAGCTCCGCTCCATCCTTTGTTAGGGTGAGTCATCAGTAAATTCTCTACTGCTACGGATGTACTTCTTCATCTAGTAACACAAGTAACAACACTAGCTCACTAATTTATTTTTAAACATATATATTGGATAACTATTGCCAACTAACATTGTGGGAGTGGTCGTGAATTGTCCGCGATTTGTCTGAATCAATTTGAAAAAAAAACCATGTTTACTAACTCAATACCATGAAACACACATTTACATATGTAAATAAAAATAAGTAAATAAATATATGTTCGTGATAATACTCCGCTAATGATGTTGTGTAAATTTTTGTACAGCCCCTTAAGAACGTACAGGGCAAGCAGGGCCATCGCGTGGTGCTGGAGTGCCAGGTAACAGGACACCCGACACCCGAGATCACCTGGGCACGTGAGAGCATAACCATCAAGAGCTCTCCAGACTTCCAGATCACATACAATAATGGCGTCTGCACCCTGACCATTCCAAATATCTTCCCCGAAGATACTGGAAGGTGAGTCGTCGAGCTGCAGCACACACAAGAGGAGCCATTGAAAATGGATCTTATGAAATATTGCCTTCTGTACCTAATCTGCTACATTTCGTGCTATGGGTGTGTTATTGTATTGTGCAAAATGGAATCCTTCAAGTTATTAAATAGTTGTTGTGTGTACAGTTGGAATTGTGTTTAATTGTGATGTTTCCCCCATGCAGGTACACATGTACAGCTACTAATGCTTCAGGCAGCAAAACGACTTCAGCATTCCTTAGTGTGCAACGCGTTGATGAGACACCGTCAGTCGCAAGGCAAGCAACCTCTTCATTTACGTCAATCTAATTCTCGTGTAAATTCATCAGTCAGGTCGATCGTTCGAGTATCTCTGTAGATAGCTATTTGAGATGTACTTATTGCCTAATTGGCTAACTATTGTCCAACTCCTCTTGCAGTTTGCGACATTTAACGTTGGATTTTTTGTTTTTGTGATTCACATGCTAGTCGTTCGCCGTTTGTGACATCTAGATTTGTGTTTGCAAACTGTGCTTGTTGGTATTTTGCGATTCACGTGCAACTTTCCCATCATTGTAGGACGGCATCGGTGTTCGGTCCGCAAGCAATGATTCCGCCCAGCTTCATTAAGCAGCTTGGAACCATTAAGCTGGTCGAAGGAAACAGTGCTTTCTTTGAATGCATCGTGCGTGGGCAACCCGACCCAGAAATCATCTGGAGTCGCAGAGGCGTGCCCATCATGACAGGCTACAGGTGATTGTCACGTGGATACTTGTCCGTACAGGAAACAGCCAGTGATCGTGTTAATTCCTGCAGAAATCGATTCTGCCAGACTTCTCAGCACATACTTTATCGGATATTTAGTGAATTGTAAAGTTACATCCTTTAGATTACTTTGGACGTCATTTGATAGTTCTGGTAGAGACGTTTGCAAGGCCTGTAATGACGATTTTTTCCCCTTGTTTCAGATATAAAATAGATAACGATTACAAGACAGGAACTTGCACACTTACTGTTAGTAAGGTGTTCTACGACGATGAAGGAGAATATACATGTACCGGCGTGAACCCAGCAGGAGAGGCATCTACAACTGGCTACTTGCTTAGCGACTGTACGTTTTGATCAAACACTAATACGCAATTTAGCTATCTGTGTGATGTGATTGACAAGCAATGCTAGCCAACCGTGAGATGTTCTTAAAGACACTGCTTAGCTATGAAGTACCATAAATTCAACAGTTTGAACTGCACGTGTGAAAAACATGCATGAACTGGTCTAGATTGAGATTGACATTCTTAACTACAATATATAAAGTGGGCATGGTTATCTCTCTTTCTCTCTCTCTGATCGATGCCCTGCAGATTTCCACTCTTCTCTACACAAAATCTACAAGTTTGTGATTTCTACTTTGCAGTGAAGTATCGCGAGTATTTGAAGAGCCAGGGTATCGTGGAGCACGTGTCGCGCACGACTAAGCGCGGCTCGTTCGAGAGCGCGATGTCACCCAGACCGATCGTCGCTCGTACCGGAAGTCTCCCGCCGGCAAAGGCCAGACAGTCGCCGGTGAGAGTCTACGAATCCGACAGCGTACGTATCCGTGATTCCCAACAGGGAAAATTAACGATTGAATATGATAGAGCCACGCCGTCGGCTGCTCGGATAACTTCACGCGTTCAAATGAATTAAAACGCGTACGCGAAGTAAAAATTAAACGTGTATACTGAGTGAAGCATGAATGCTCTTTCTTAAATCCACTACCCACTAGCCGTCACTATAGGTTGTTGCAATGACCATAAACATTTGTACGACACGATACGTCTGACATCATAGCAATTTTCCGGGTGGCGTTCCGTTCTCGATGTGAACTCGATCCAACTCGACACGTTTCCTTCGCGATAGTTTCGTCGGCAATAGTTGATGTTCACCACGTCGTTCGCGCGTTGCAGGAGTTTTGTTCGCAATAGTCACTGTTCGTCGCGGCGTTTGCACGTTCCTGAAGTGTCGTTCGCAGTAGTCACAATAGATGTTCACCGCGATGTTCACACATTCTTGAAGTGTCGTTCGCGATGTTCGACGTTCACTCCGTCGTTCGCAATAGTCAATGTTCACCGCTTCGTTCGCAATAGTCGATGTTCACCGCTTCGTTCGCAATAGTCGATGTTCGTCCGCTTGTTTGATAGTCGATGTCACGTTCGTTGCAATGTCGATGTTCACCGCTGTCGTTTGCAGAATAAGTCCGATGTTCACCGCTTCGTTCAATAGTCGATGTTACGTTCAGTTCGCATATGATTTCCGCTTCGTTCGCAATATTTGATGTTCACCGCTTTGTTTGCGTGCGTTGCAGGAGTTTCGCTCATCACAGTATCACAGCCAGTGCAATCATGAAGTATGTACGCGGTACGAACACGAGATCTCGGCACAGATACAGCGGCTACGGGTCGGCAGCCCAGCCGAGTGCCCGCGCGCGCCATGAATGCGTGTCGCCGCCCGCGTACGGGGCGACGATCGGCATCGCACCACGCAGGCCGTTCGGGCGCCGTCGGCGCGATTCATCGGATCTGAGCAACTCCCTGCGAGCAGGCGAGGTCGTACTGTCAGATCGAAGTCAAAGCGCAGCACAAAGGTAGGTGGCGCTCAGTATTGTAATCGAGTGTTGTCCGATTTGCCACACTCCATGATATTAGGTTTACCGCACTTCGTACTACACTCGCCGCACTCTGCACTGCAGTCATTACGTTTGTCGTACTCTGCACTGCAGTCATTACGTTTTTGTTCTACTTGCTGCGTATGACGTTTCGCACCCGCTGCCTACGATTTACAAACTTCATTTACTACATTCGTAACACTCTGCACTACATTCATAACACTCTGCACTACATTCGTAACACTCCTCCCTACACTTGTCGCACGCGCACTATGTTTTTTCATAGTCCACACTACTTTTCTCGCTCCGCCGCACTACAATTCTCACTCTGCCTCCCTCTCCCTCGCCAGGTGACCTGGTTCAAGGACAGCAAGCGCATCTACCCGTCGCAGCGGCACATCATGCGGCAGCAGGGCAACACGCACACGCTGCACATCCGCGTCGCACTGCCCGAGGACAGCGGCGACTACACGGCGATGGTCGAGAACCACGCCGGCAGCACGACGAGCGGATGCCGCATCGTCGTCGAGACCGTCGTCGGCTTCGGCCGCAGGCCGTCCTACACGCCGCGCCGGCCCTCGAAGCAGATCGACGTCGCGACGGGCGAGCACATGCTCGGACCGGGCTTCGCGAAGGTTCCGGGAGACGTCGAGTGCCGCGAGGGCCAGCTGGTGCGCTTCGACTGCCGCGTGACGGGCCGGCCGTACCCGGACGTCGAGTGGTACCACAACGACGTGCTCGTGTCGGACGACGCCGCGCACAAGGTGACCGTGAACGAGTACGGCGTGCACTCGCTGCTCATCTTCGCGGCGGACGTGCGCGACGCCGGATCGTACATCTGTGTCGCACGCAACCCGATGGGCGAGTCGTCATTCTCCGTGAAACTCACCGTCGTCCGTAAGTGTCCGTGCAGCTTTAACTGCATCGCTATGCTTGGCTGGTATTATATATATATATATATATATATATATATATATATATATATATATATATATCAGGAGTAAATAATCACAAATATATATATATATTCGCCCCGTTGGAAGAAAATAGTTAAATCGTATGTATTAGTATACATAATAGTATAGTATAGTTAATATATTATGTATTATGGATATGTATATATAATGTATCTATGGTATAGGGCTTTCGTATTGCCAGATAAATCGTAAATAGTTGTGAAGATGATTTCATGAAGTGACGTTTTAATATTAAGGTTGTCGCAGTGATCTCTTATTACTTCGGTTTAGTTATTGTGGTTATCACAAAATTTTAATAGTAAATTTGTTAACGTTTGTGTAGCTCGGGAGTACCATGAAGGATTTTTTGGTTCAAAGATTGCAGTTTGGTTCAAAAGCATTGATTCTCTCGTTTTTTTCCGTTTAAGGTAAAGATAGAATGTCTGTGATAGATAATATGGTATAAAAAACCCCATCTATCATGTCTAGGGTTAGAAAGTTAATTTCGTGTTTGCTTTACGTAGCACGAGAGAGAGTGATGCCACCCAAGTTTGTCGAGCATTTCCCATCTGTAAGGGCTAATGAGGGAGAGCATGTGACTTTCCATTGCCGCGCAGTGGGTGAACCTACCCCTACCCTGACTTGGCACAAGGACGGTATCCAGATTGTACCAAGTCGTGACATACAGTAAGTATACTAGTGAATGGAAGTGATGAACAACGTGATAATGAATGATGATATTGGAGTTTACGCAATTAATTATACTTTCCTTATCCCAAGTAGTACAATGGAGTTGTAATTATTAGTGTAGTAAGTATGTATGTCAACCAAATAATGTGCTGATAATCATCAGTAAAGAAATTCAATTAATTAGATTTATTCATTAACAGTTTGTTAATCTCAACATTAGTTATACAGTAATGCAGTGGGATGCGGTTCTAGTTTGCAATCCATTTGTTTGCGTCAGTTGATCTTCAAATCAGGTGCGATTGAAATGTTACGTGGAAGTCTATGTTTGTCTGCCCGGTTAAACAGTTATCTGATAACTATCAGTTATAACTAGCAGATATAACTATGCAAGTTTATATCAACACGCGTGACAAATTTAGTCGTGAGATAACACCGACGTCTCGTTGCTATCAGGATTGACTCACACGATGGAACTTCTATGCTGGTTATGCCACGCTGCCGCAGAGATGATGCAGCCTGGTATGAGTGCACAGCCATAAACGTGGCTGGCAGCGTTACAACCAGGGGCAAGCTCGATGTGCACGGTGAGTGAGTGAGTGAGTGAGTGAATGAGTGAGTGAGTCACTGGTGAGTGAGGCGGGGGGTGGGGGACACCCTAGAAAGTCGTGGACTTTTGAAGTTGCCATTTTCCAAATGTGGAATGTCATGGAAAGTAATGTGTGATGCTGGAAAGACCTGGACAACAGGCTATTATTGTGTGTGGCACTAAGTAGTCCTTGAAACTGAGCTCATCTTTTTCTCGGGCGCGGTAAAATTGTCTCCATGTAACGGTGTGTTCAGTAATCACTGAGTGGTCCCTGATACCATGGGCAAAGTCCGTGTTTAGTTAAAATGTTGTGGTCACGGAAAATGGACCTTTATCACGTTCAACACTGTCTTGTTAACAATTGATATATCGCTCCCTGCGCTGGAATTTTCGCATATTCTTACCTGTTTTAGTCCTGGAAAGCACCTGGAAAACTCCCTGATAACTGTTTTGCTTTATACGTGCCAATCCTGTGGTGCTGACGGGAATGTAAGCGTAAATATGTCCTGCACGTTACGCCGTACCGCAGCGCATGATACAGACACGGCCTCAGTCAATCTTTCTTCACACAACTGCTTCACCTGCACGCACATCGTGTTTTCTAGTTGACCACAAACCAGTGGAGTACAGAGAGATCTACCTGCCGACGGGCAAGGTCAAGCCGAGAGGTCCCGGCGACTCGGGCGAGACGATCTGGCTCAAGCCGGTCGAGATGGCCAGGTACGAGCGCAGAGAGTCGCACGAGGACATCCGACTGAAGGAGGTGAGGCACACGCAGCAGCGCGAGGTCACCTCCACCGAGAGGGACTGGGAGGAGAAGAATGTCTACCCGTTCTGGCAGAAGAAGCCCGTCGTCGAGACGAGACGCGAGACCATCTACTTGAAGCCGACGAAGTTCGAGCATCACGCGGAGGACGAGCAGGGCGAGACGATCTGGCTGAAGCCCGTGGCGAGGGAGAGGTACATTGTGACCGAGCCCGAGCCGGAGGTGCACGTCCCGGCGCCCGCGCCCAGGCCTCTCTTCCTGACGCAGCTGAACAACATCTCGAGACTGCCCGAGAGGCAGAGGGCTGTATTCGAATGCCAGGTTGAACCAGTGAGCGAGCCGTCACTGCGCATACTGTGGTATGCTAATGGAAAGCCGATCACACAAGGTATGTTAAATGCAGATTATATATATATAAATATATATATATACATACATACATACATATTTGTGTATGATTAATTGTAATATATATGAGAATAAATAATAATATAATAAATATTTAATTGCATGGCTATTAATGGAGTTACGGTGCACGCCGTTGTTTTCATATTTCTAGTATATATATATATACATACATACATACATATGTGTGTATGAATAATTGTAATATACATGAGAATAAATAATAATATAATAAATATTTAATTGCATGGCTATTAATGGAGTTACGGTGAAAGATATAAGGGTACGATACTGGCTTCGTTGATGCATTAATTTGAGCAATTTATTAATCCATGTCCATTTTCTATGCAGCAATCGTTTAATTCATTTCTATTTTCGTCAGGTCCGCGCTTCCAGATGGAAATTTCACCCAGTGGAATGGTTAGACTGACAATCACAGAGGCCTACGTTGAGGACTCTGGTGTTTACACGTGCAAGGCCACCACCTCTTCGGGCGAGGCCTACACTAGTGCTACGTTGAGAGTTGAATGTATGTATATACGATGGCATCCTACCTCTCTGATTTGTCGTTAATGTTGTTCTTACATCGTGTAAGGCGCATAACTTAAAAATGTAGTATAGAGTTGTAACTAGTTTTCAATAATCGTTTTTTTAATGCTCGATTTTTCAGCCGTAGCAACAAGGCCAACATTAGTACAGGGCCTAAAAGACTTATCGAACCTAAAGGAGGGAGACAGTGCCCACTTTGAGGTGCACTTCACACCAGCTGATGACAAAGACATCATTGTGGAATGGTTCCACAATGGCAAACCTATACCCGTTGGTAAGATAACATCACACGACTCGTTTATTACTAAACCATTTCAAGGTTCTCGTTAATTTGCTAACTGATACTTTTGGTGTTTAGTTGCAACACCACCCTTACTTCTTCAATGTACTATGCCTATTCACCTTGTGTATAAGTGACGTGAATAAATGTGTGCGTGCGTGCGTGCGTGCGTGCGTGCGTGCGTGCGTGTGTGCCCGTGTGTGTTTGCGTGTGTGTGATTGCATATAGTTTATGTCGTGTAATCATTAGAGCAAGTTCACTAAACCATGCATGTTATCGATGCACAGGTGGCAGGTTTATAACAGGACAGAGACCGGGAGTGGCGACACTGGACATTTCACCGGTGCTACCCGAAGACAGTGGAGTAATCACGTGCAGGATCACCAACAAGGGTGGCTCTGTGACGAGCTCTGCTAACATGCACTGCGCACGTAAGTGCAACAATAACGATTGAATTTGTAAGATCAGAAATGGCATGTAAGACGATCGTAATAACTGTTGATAGTAATAAAAAAGTGTTCACCCGTGGCCATCATATCCTATATAGCTAACGATGATCCTCTTATATACATGTCACGCTGTGGTAATTTTATCTATATGGCAAACTCTGGTAATTTTATCTGTATCTGTGTGGCAAGCTGGTCAATCTATCGACACAACGAATTAGAGATTTTATCTAAATGACAGACAATGGTCGGTCTGCTTATATGGCAGACTGGTCATTTTGCCAACATTGCAAAATGTTGGCTATCCCATCTACATGACAAACTCTAGTCATCCTATCTACGTGTGAACACGGTTTACGATTTCTGCCTTAATTTATCACAGCAACAGACATTGGCAACAGGCCAGTGTTCATCAACCCACTGAACAACCAGCTGGGCCTGAAGGAGGGCGGACTGGCCCACTTCGAGGCGCGCGTCGAACCCCACCACGACCCGAAACTGAAGGTGGAGTGGTTCTGCAACGGAGCGCCGCTGAAGATCGGCTCGCGCTTCAAGCCGCTGTTCGACTTTGGCTTCGTGGCTCTCGACATATGCCCTGTCTACCCAGAGGATTCTGCCATCTACGTGTGCAAGGCCACCAACGAGTATGGCCAGGCAACAACGTCCGCTACGCTGGAGTGCTTCGGTGAGTGCCAACTATCCAGTCTTCGGTGTAATCACTTGTTCGGCTGATATATAGCCTAGATTATAATCTATTATAGATATATGTTAATATATATTATAGATGTGGTGAAGTTGAGTTAATGTTGTTTATCGATCAGTCGCACGTCTGTAAAAAATTTCAGGCGAGGAAGGAACGAAGAGACCAGTGTTTGTCAGCCAACTGAACGACCTGCCAGGCATGCAGGAAGGACAGGCAGCCCACTTTGAGTGCAGAGTGGAGCCGGCCAACGACCCAACACTGAGAGCAGAGTGGTTCCACGATGGAAAGCCCATTGTGAATGGTACGATGATGGACATGTACCCTGATACCGATAGGCTTTTACTATTTTTACGAGTCTTTCGATAGACCTCTCTGATTAATACAGAAATGAGCTGGTTATTTGTAAGGATAGTTAGGATGTATAGGATTATGATAATTATTCATTGTTGTCTACTCTAATCTCATTAGGACCGAGACACAGGACAAATCTGGAGTTTGGACTGGCCTCACTAGACATCAACCCACTGGTGCCTGGAGATGCTGGTGTATATATCTGCAAGGTTACTAACGAGTATGGCAGTAGCAATACATCGGGCTCCATGCACGTGCTACGTAAGTGAATTAACCTCCTGACCATACCACAAATCAGTAAACTCCGAACAGAGGAGAATATCTCTGAGATATAAATCCAAATGATTAACACGCTATAATATTACTGAAATTAGAAATGTGGATAATTACACATAATCAATGTTGTTTTTTCATTTTGATCACGTATTCATGTATTTTCTATTGCAGCCAAAGTGCAACCTAAGCCCCCAACGTTTGTATCAACGCTGCGAGCCCAGACTGCCGACGAAGGCAAGAAAGTGATATTCGAATGTCGCTACGAGCCAGCCCGAGACCACGTCACTATTCAGTGGTACCACAACGGGCAGCCAATACCCGTCGGTAAGCGCGCGTGCTTAATCACGATACCCATGTTATGTGCGTGTGTGCTAGTATTTGCTAAATACACAGGATACTCTTGTAAGTAGGGTAGTTGCAGAGTATCGGGATGCGAGATTTTCTTTGTAGTTGTTGTCGTAGAGGAGTTATTCACGTGCTCACATGTTTGCAGGTGCCAGATTCAAGACGAAACAAGACTTTGGTGTAGCAGTGTTGGAGATTAATCCAGTTCACCTGGAGGACTCTGGCGTGTACAGCTGCCACATCACCACAGAGTGGGGTGATGATGATACCTCAGCTAGCTTAACCGTTAACGGTAAGTGCTGATCTTTGCCGCTGTTACCACGAACGTAACTATACGATTACATATATTATTATATACATTGAGATTACGTTAAAAAATACAACGTATACATATGTTCTTGCCATTACCTATGCCTGTTCTTGCGGCAATGCCATAACCAATGCCACTATAAAATTGCATGAAGAATTAGATTGTGGCTAGAATTGTTGAACACGTATCACTCTGAAAATATGCATATTTATTGGTTTCGATTTTGATTTGCAGAGAAACTTGAGGGCAAGGCACCAGTGTTTATCAGTCCACTAAATAACCAGATGGGAATTGTTGAGGGAAAGCTGGCCCACTTTGAGGCTCGTGTTGAACCTCACCAGGACCCTAAGCTGAAGGTGGAATGGTTCTGTAACGGAAGACCCCTTAAAGTTGGTAAGCAGGAATCACATGTTATGATACAACCACGTACTATTGTAAACATTTAACAAAGGCCTTACGCATATCAATGCTACCATAACTATATGTATACTCTGTATATAAATGTGTATACACATGTCGCCTGTACTTGTTGTATGTTGTTGTAAGGTAACTTATATGTAATAGTGCTAAGTCTTTGTAATATTAAAAATTCTCTTCTTCGTTGACGTTCTATATTCCGGCCTCGTTTTGACTGTGGATATTAATTCATGCTATGTAAATCTTTATAATATCATTAAAAATATATTATCTTTTCACAGGATCTAGATTCAGGCCTCTGTTTGACTTTGGCTTTGTTGCCTTGGACATTAGCCCCTGCTATCTGGAGGATAATGGAGAATATGTGTGCAGAGCGTATAACGACTATGGAGAAGCATTCTCCACCTGCATACTGGAATGCAGTAAGTCCTCTCTATTTATAAAATTTCAATTAGTTAACTTGTCTACTTTCTTAAGTCTGTTTCTTAAGTAAAATATTATACAATGATATAACTTTGCTTTTATAATCTCTAAGTCTGTTGTAGTTATGTTCACATAATTCAAATTCAATAATCAAAATTCAGAATTCAGAAGAAAACAATTCGAAACTCACTCAGATAAAACCTTGATATCACAATATAAATATTATAATAATTAAAGCAGAATCGTGAAGATGTATTTCACAAAGTCAATGCCACACGTTATGTTTATGATATGCATTGGTAAGTTTGTGTTCGCGTGAGCTCATGCATTTGATCGATTTTCTTGCAGTCGACGACTCTGCCAGGCGTCCGCGCATCACTGGCCCACTCAACCACCTGCCGAACATGCTGGAAGACATGTCCGCTCACTTTGAGTGCAGGGCCGAGCCAGGCACAGACGAGACGCTGCGTGCAGAGTGGTTCCACGACGGACTACCCATCGTTGATGGTACGATGCTACAAGAGCACGATGCTACTGCGAAGCTTGCTCGCACACATGTGCATCACACGTGCAATATGCAAACACTCATGGACACGGACGCGCACGCACGCACGCATGCACGCACACACAGACAGACACACACACATGCACGCACGCATGCACGCACGCACGCACGCACGCATGCATGCACGCACGCACAGACACACACACACATGCACGCATGCACGCATGCACGCACGCACGGACGCACGGACGCACGTACACAGACACAGCCACACATGCACTTGCTTCTTTTCAATTTTTTAGTTTCTTTGCACGAAAGTATTAATGTGTTTGTATTGCAATTACTACTAAACACCCCAAAACACAGTTTACTAATGAATTGTCATCTCTGTAATGTTCTAGGTCCCAGACATAGGACAAAACTAGAGCATGGTGTTGCTACCCTGGATATCAGCCCTCTCGGAAGAGGCGACAGCGGTGTGTACACATGCAAGTTCACAAACCAGTACGGCACGACCCAGACCTCTGCCAGCATGAGAGTAGATGGTAAGTTAAACCACCTATACTATAAAATTTGTTAAAAGCATCATTAACTAAAAAGACATTTCCATCCACGAGCGTTCGACTATTCTTTGCTCTTGCGTCATTCAACGACCCATCCACGAGCATAGGTTCTGCCATTCTTTGCTTTCGCGTCGTTCCATGACCCTCCCGCGAGCGTAGGTTCCGCCATTCTTCACTCTCGCGTTGTTCAACGACCCATCCACGAACATACGTTCTGCCATTCCTTGCTCTCGCGTCATTCAATGAACCAATTCGCGAGCATAAGTTCCGCCATTCTTTGCTCTTGCGTCATTTAACGACCCATCCATGAGCATAAGTTCCACCATTCCGTGCTCTCACGATGTTCAATGATCCAATTGGCGAGCATACGTTCCGCCATTCTCTTGCGTCGTCTGACGATGCTCACGTCTGTTTGCGTTTGCCACCAACAGCCAAAGTGCAGCCAAAGCCGCCCGTGTTCGTGTCGCCGCTGCACGCGCAGACCGCCGACGAGGGCAAGTCCGTGCGCTTCGAGTGCCACTTCACGCCCAAGGACGCGCCCGTCAAGGTTGAGTGGTTCCTCAACGGCGAGCCGATACCGCACGGATCACGCTACAGGACGTCGCAGGACTTTGGTGTCGCGGCTCTCGAGATTTCTCCCGTACACAAGGAGGACTCCGGACTCATCACCTGCCAGATCACGACCGAGTGGGGCAGCGCCCAGACCTCGGCTCAACTCACCTGCGCACGTGAGTTATGCGACAGTTCGACGATCTCACGGTGTTTAACTTTGTGATTCGGCCGGTAAAGCAGGGGAGATATTATTGTAACGTTTGTAAAAAATTCTGTTAAACTGTTAAAGTTAAATTGTAAAAAATGTTTTTGTACAAAATAAAATTTGGGTTAATAATGATTTAAATACGAGAGCTGGTAAAGGAGTACAATTTGTCGTTATAAGCGCCCCATGCGTACGCGGTTTGGGTCGATGCTGATGTACGTACGGTTACAAACTTGGTTAGTTTCCATTATGCAGAGCCACGTAGTTGCACCGTAGACAGTCGTGTGACGTGTTTGTTTAATTTCGTACCTGCAGCCAAGGAGACTACTGGTAACAAACCAGTGTTCATCAACCCACTGAACAACCAGTTGGGCATCATCGACGGCAAGCTGGCCCACTTCGAAGCGAGAGTCGAGCCGCACCAGGATCCCAAGCTGAGGGTGGAGTGGTTCCACAATGGATTCCCGCTGAAGATCGGAACCCGCTTCCGACCGCTGTTTGACTTTGGCTTCGTCGCTCTGGACATCAGTCCTTGCTATACGGAGGACTCTGGAGTGTACACCTGCAGAGCTTGGAACGATTATGGAGAAGCCATCGCGACGGCCACGCTCGAAGTCATATGTACGTAAACACATTCATATACATGCTAGTATGTGTAGTATATATATATGCAGGGCTGTAGCTAGCAGGCCAGCAAGCTGGGAAGTTGCCTCCCCCTAGAGAAACGTAGATGCATCACATAGTCAATGGCAGTCACTTTCCAACCAGAAAACACACCGTACATGCCTTTACGCCCCCCAAAGGCAAAATATGGTTAGGGTTAATTCGTATATTAGGGCAACTTCCTTGATATGTGTTAATGTACGTACCAGCATGTATAGATAATTGTAGCCATCGCGTAGCGTTTTGCTATGCACGTGGATGTTATATCCCGTGGCTTGCTGAATTTCATCATGCTGAATAGATACGTGTGTTTTTTGCTGCAGCTGACCAAGGCACGAGGCGACCAGTGTTTGTTAGTGCACTGAACCATCTGCCAGGCATGAAAGAAGGCATGGCCGCACACTTCCAGTGTAAGGTAGAGCCAGCTAACGACCCGACATTGAGGGCAGAGTGGTTCCACGATGGAGTACCTATTGTAGATGGTGAGCTAACCTAACCAACCTAAATCTTACCTTAAATGTCCGAAAAGCTGTCCACATGAAAATTTTATACATGTATATGGATACGTATCCATGCACTGCTATGTATGTGTGTGACCGTCGTACGTCTTGCAAATGGCATACTTGCACATGCTTCTGTATATACATACGACTATGTATACATACATACGTATGCATCTAATATACGCGTCTGAGAATAACGGTTATGGGAATCTGTCGCTCTATTACTGCAGGACCGAGACACAGGACGAGCCTAGAGTTTGGCATTGCCACACTGGACATCAACCCACTGGTGCCCGCAGATGCTGGCATGTACGTCTGCAAGGTGACAAACGACTTTGGAACAGCGCAGTCGTCTGCAACCATGGGAGTAGAACGTAAGAGTTGCATAATGCATATAATCAATATGATAGTAAATATATATAGATATAAATATAATAGTAACCTAGCCATGAATGCATATAATCAATATGATAGTAAATATATATAGATATAAATATAATAGTAACCTAGCCATGAATGCATATAATCAATATGATAGTAAATATATATAGATATAAATATAATAGTAACCTAGCCATGAATGCATATAATCAGCAGTGCATGTTAATCGTAGTATATATGTGTGTCGCAAAATTGCACGTGTCGATGTGTCGATGCAAATCCACAAACTTCACTCGATTGGATCTTAAATGTGAGTGCGTTTTTTAACAGCCAAGGAAAGGCCGCAGCCTCCAGTGTTCGTCAGTCCCATACAGGCGAGGACGATACGTGAGGGATACCCATGCAGATTCGAGGCCCGTTATGAACCAGCAAGAGACCCTGGAGTTAGGGTAGAGTGGTTCCATGACGGTCAGCCCATCCCCGTCGGTACGTATCGCGTTGCAGGATAATTTGTCAAGTAGATTTGTTTGATAATTAGTTTGATCATTTTCCTAAATCGTTGCAAAGCAATTCGTTCTCTAGTGTGTTTGTTGTAGAATAATATTGCAAAATGCTAACATTTGAGCTTTGGCAGACAACCAGCTGATGATACCTGGAATTTTCTTGCCTAAGATTTCATTAAATGGCATGTGCTTTTACAGGCACGCGATTCAGACCTTCAACAGACTTTGGCATAGCCGCACTTGACATTAAGCCAACTGAGGTGGAAGACACTGGTACCTACACGTGCCAGGTGACAAACGATTATGGCCAGGCTCAAAGCTCTGCACCACTGCAGTGCACTGGTAAGTTATGGGTTTTGCATTGACAAGTGTTTGCAATTTAAGTTACTAAGAAGTTATATGGGGAAAAAGTACGTTTTGTGTTCAGTTAAACTTTACTAAACTGTAACTAATGTGTAAACAGTTACTACATGGAACCGAACCTATACTACAATATTATGCATACACTATATGAAATGCTGTAAGCATTATAATTGGTAAGTTCAGCTGTATTCTACATCATTTCTGATATTTTATGTTATGATTTAATTATATAATGATTTACTGTTACTTAATTTTAGCAAAGAAGACGGGCATGCGACCCAAGTTCCTGACACCACTGCGCCCGCAGCATGGGCTCATGCAGGGTAAGACTGCTCACTTTGAGTGTCGCCTAGAGCCGACAGACGATCCGATCCTGAGAGTGGAGTGGTACCACAACGGACAGCCACTCAAAACAGGTGAGCATTCTGCTTTTCGTTAAGCCCCAGGCAAGATCTGCTCGACCCGTCCGTTTAGGCGGAATACCGATATGCTACCGGCTTCGATATTGTTGCTAGGTCTGTTAAGGTAGATGAGTTCATGCACGTTTTTCCCGCATGCACACGTAATTGTCAACTCTGCTACAATCCAGTACCAAGCAAAAAGTTACAAACGCACTCACGGTCTAGCTAGAGGTGAACGTGCCTATCTGTAACGCTAGACGCATAGATCAATCCAGTTATTATCTACCAGAAATACTCTCGCCTACCACGAAAATCACTCACGGTCTGGCTAGAGCACAACGTACCTTCCAGTAACGCTGGATGGATAAATCAATTCAGTTATTCTCCACTCATGCCTACTCTCGCTATTCTACCACAAAACGCACTCACGCTCACCTACCGCAAAACACACTCTCACGCTCTATCTCGCCGCTCGTCTTCCAGGCTCGCGATTCCGGCCGCTGCACGACTTCGGCTTCGTCGCGCTCGACATCAACCCCGTCTACCCGGAGGACTCCGGCGAGTACATCTGCCGCGCCGTCAACGACTACGGCGAGGACCACAACCGCACAACGCTCGAGTGCATGGGCGACCGGCCGATCGACTGGACGACCCAGCATCCGGAGGGACTCACGCAGCTGCGCCACCTCGAGCAGCCTCGGCGGCTGCGTCCGAGCGAGGAGCGCACGACGGGCCGCGCGCCCGTCTTCACGAGCAAGCTGCGCGACGTGCCGCACGTCGCCGAGGGATCCGGAGCGCACTTTGAGGCGCGGCTCGAGCCCGCCAACGATCCGGATCTTGTCGTCGAGTGGTTCTTCGACGGCGAGCCGCTGAAGACAGGTGAGTGTTACGGGAGGAGTGGGTGTGCGTGTGTGTGCGTGTGTGTGTGCGTGTGTGTGTGTATGCGCGCGTGCTTTATCGATCCATCTGTCTGCAGCGATTGACACGTAATTCTGTGCAAGAAGCACTCTGGTTATAATCGCTCTTGCTGATAGCTGAATATAATTGCTATTTTCTGCTTTGTTGATTATTGCTCTTTAATTGCTGATACGTTGCAGTATAGTCGTACGTTTAATGAGTAGAAATAGTGATTAACATTGGTTGAGTTACTACTGAAGTAAATGCGCGGGTTGCAAAAATGAACGTTTGTTTTCTGATGACATTTTTTTTCTTTCTGTAGGTCACAGATTCAGGACTATCCACGATTTTGGCTTCGTTGTTCTCGACATCCTGTACGTCTACCCAGAGGATACGGGCGAGTACGTGTGCAAAGCCACCAACAAATACGGGCAGGCAACCACGACTGCTCAACTCGGATGCAGAGGTAATAACAATTACGTGAATGTACACCTTGTATGTTACGTGTGCAAAAATATTTGTTACATTATACCGATGCGTATATTACTGATACTGACGTAAAAAAAGGTGTTTATCCAATATATGCTTACTGTGTCCATCTCTGTAGGCAAATCTGGCATCTCCTACGAGTCACAGCACCCAGAAGGTCTTCAGCAAATTAAGTACCTAGAGCATCCAAAGGATTCTCGTAAGGACTGGCCCGAGGAAGTCAAATCGACACAGAAACCACAGTTCGTTACCCAGCTGCGAGACTTGCCGAACGCGAAGGAGAGCCAGGGTGTGCACTTTGAGGCCAGACTCGAGCCGCACAACGATCCCAACATGCAGATCGAGTGGTACCACAACGGAAAGCCTCTTGAACACGGTACGTTACACACCACACACACACACACACACACCGCTACATACAACGGTGCGTTCCCAGTACACGCCGCAAAATAATATTTCATCACAGCGTGCGGGTAATGTATGTACAATGTAATGAAAATGTAACGTGGAGTAATGTCTTCGTATATATGTCGAAACGAGTTCACTGGATTTCATGATAATACATGGGTAACGTCATTTCGCACTTTTACGAGTTATTAATTTTATGATTATCTCACGATCGTCTTATATATCTCGATTCGTGAAATTGACGTCGTGTCTTCGCACGGTTACGATGACGCGTCGGCATGTCTATTCAGGTCATCGATTCAGACCGATGCATGACTTTGGCTACGTCGTGTTGGATATTCTCTACGTTTACCCGGAGGACTCCGGGGAGTACGTCTGCCGTGCGGTGAACAATGTCGGCGAGGATCAGACGAGAGCCGTTCTCCACGTGCAAGGTACGTACCGACAGCATCTGCAATCAAACCACGTTTCTAACCATGTTTCCTTGACTCGGGAAGAATTCTAGATACTTTGCGAAAGTGAAAGTGATCTTCACGATACTTGTGAAGCGACGAACATCGAGATTTACGAACCACGTCTCTACGTGATTCCTTTTCGTTATCTGAAAGAAATTCTTGATACTTCGTGAAAGTGATCTTGACGATTTATATGAAGCGATGAGATTCGAGCTTGACAAACCACGTGTCTATATGGTTCCTTTCCATTTCGGAAAGAATTCTCGCTACTTTATAAAAGTGATCTTCACGTATTTTATGAAGCAATGAGAATCAAGCTTGACAAAGCACGTCTCTACACAATTCCTTACCGTTTCGATTTCCCACGACATGAGTAGATTTTCACGACGCGACGAGAACCGAGTTTACTGCACGACACGAGTGGATGGTACGTGTAAAACGTGTTACACTTTCAGACAAAGCGGGAATCGTATACACAAGCGGATTGCCGGACGAAGCTCAGATCGTCGAGAAGATCCAGAATCTGGAAGAGTACGGGCGGCAGCGCGCCAGAAAGCCGTTCGAGGCCGACCTGCTCTATCCGAAGCCGGTGTTCACGACGCACATCAAGGACGTTGCTAACCTCGTGGAGAGACAGAAAGCTCACTTTGAAGCCAGGCTGGAACCGGCGAACGATCCCGACCTGAAGGTCGAGTGGTACTTCAATGGAAAGCCGCTAGAAGCCGGTAAGCTTTTTGACATTCGGTGAGAACGATCGTGAAAGTATACGGTGATGAATTAAGCGAATGGTGGCATTTTCATCTTCTGGTATTTCGGAACGGTCTGAAGGACTTTTGCGATTACTCATTTTGCCTTGCAGCGAACCGCATCACGCCGTACCACGACTTTGGATTTGTCGCGTTGGACATTGGCGACACCAAGGACGACGACTCTGGCGTTTACATGTGCCGAGCGTGGAACAAGGCTGGTGAAGCCTTCACGACGGCGTCTCTTCGCGTGCACCGTAAGCGTGGAAATTCAGCGCGATCACAATATTGCTTTTCGATCTTCATTACTTGTTTATTATAATATACTTATTACTTATTATACTACTTACAACTTACTTATTATGTACTAACTTTTTCATTGATTTTATCCATTTTCTGGGCGTATGTAAGATTGTGATGACTAAAGCGAAGACACAGCTGGTAGCAACTCTTGAATTTTTCTTTCTGCAGCTTTGAAGGGACTAATCCTAGAAACCCAGCTACCCGACTCCAAGGCCGCCGACGAGATCGATCAGCTCGAAGCGTATCAGGCGCAGAAGGCTAGGAGGCCGACGTGGGGAGAGGCGGAGCCTGCGTGGCCGCGTCCCACGTTCACGACCCCCCTGCAGCCGTCGGTGGACCTCGTCGAAGGAAGCCGCCTGCACGTCGAGGGAAGGCTCGTGCCAATCGGTGACCCCAACATGAAGGTCGAGTGGTACAAGAACGGAGTGCCTCTCGATTACGGTAGGCCCGTTTTGCGAATTCGAGTATTTCCAAGTGACAGAGCATGACAGTGTATTGTTTTCGTCGATCTATTCACTCTTACAGTGAACGTTTACTAGCCAGTCACTAACTGGCTGGAGCAACGCTCTTGTTCTACAATAACGTATGTCTCACATCGTCAATCTTATGTGTACATTTACAAATACAGGTAACCGCATCAACACCATGAATGACTTTGGATACGTGGCTCTCGACATCTTCCCGGCTATCCCCGAGGATGAGGGTGTCTATACCTGCCGTGCAGTGAATAAAGCTGGAGAGGCCACTTCCGGATCAACGGTCAGATGCCAACGTAAGTGAACAGGAATTCAAGTATCCTAATATATGATACATGAAGTATATGCGCATAAGCACGATTAAATAATAAGTACATACATTGTAAGCAGTGTACTGCACATTTGTGTGATGGTTGTGTTGACATGTTTGAACGCCTACTATTGATAGTATCTTGTTTCACGTATGTTGTTGCATGTATCTTCTTTGCATTTATGCATATATGATTGTGTCCAATGACAGGGTAACTGGTCGATATATTTAACGATTATTCTTTGTTCTACAGCCAAGGAGAGCATGTATTTGCACACGATCCACCCAGAAGGCTTGCAGGCCATTCAGAGGCTGGAATCCTACCAGAGACGCCCAGTGAGAGAGTCACCGGAGAGACTCGGACAGAAGCCGATATTCATCACGCAAATCCCGAACATCGAATGCTCTGAGAACCAGAGGTCGTTCTTCGAATGCCAGCTAGAGCCAGCCACCGACCCGAAGATGAAAGTGGAGTGGTTCTTCAATGGACAGCCACTCGTTGCAGGTGAGCATCATCACATCGCCGGTGACAATTGGTGGAAGTACATAACGTAACGGCACCATCGTAATGTAATGTCTAGGTAGTGTAACCCTATCACTTATGTGGATGTGTGATGTGCTTGTGTGTGTGCAGTCATGATTGAATTTCGCTTTTACTATGAGGGTTATTGTGTCGCGCAGGTCACCGCTTCAAGCCGACGCACGACTTTGGCTACGTTACACTGGAGATCCTCTACACGAACCCCGAGGACAGCGGCGTCTACGTGTGCAGGGCCACCAACGACATGGGTGAAGCAGTCACCTCTGCTACACTACACTGCACAGGTGCGTCGAGAACGGACACGAAATATGCACGTTAAAATACGAAACTTAAAACCAACTTTCAAATAACTAAACTAAGATTAAACCTAAAAAAGACTTAAACATTTTCAGCCAATTTGACACATTTTTGCTTAACATCATTCCTCATAGCATGAATTAAAGTGACAGCGCGACAATCTAAGTTGAAGAAAGAGAACGTTAGAGTCGTGACGCGGTAAATAAACTATAACTATAATGACACATATATATATATATATAATAATATCTAAATATAATAATAACAAATATAACCATAGTAACATGTATATATCATGGCTTGGTGATTCCGTCGTGCAGGTAAGAAGAGCATCTACCTGGATACGACGCACCCCGCCGGACCTCAGGCCATCGAGGAGCTGAAGGACCTCGAGGACCTCGCTGCTCGCCGCGCCATTCACGAGATCTGGGTTCCCGAGGAGCACAAGCAGAAGCCAGTGTTCGTCACGCAGGTGCAGAACATCGACAACCTGCGCGAGGGTGACAGCGCCGCGTTCGAGGCGCGCCTCGAGCCGACCAACGACCCGAAGATGCAGGTGGAGTGGTACAGGAATGGCGAACCGCTGCCGTCCGGCACGCGTTTCACGACGATGCACGACTTTGGTTATGTGAGGGCCGACATCGCGACCGTCTACCCAGAGGACGAGGGCCTGTACGTGTGCCGCGCGTTCAACGAGGTCGGCGAAGCTTTCACCTCGGCGACGCTGAAGTGTGCCGGTAGGTGGCTCTGCTATTACTCACTGATTCATAGAACTTTTCTGTTTGCCTGCTAGTTCAAAAAGCATTCTTTCACCATAATGAAATTATCAAATAAAATTTTCAATTAATCAGAAAGCAGGTGAGATCCTGAAAAAATTCAGGATGATAATTGCCCAGAGGTACACGATTAATTGCTGACCGAATCATACTACTCTCGTTTGTGGAGATTTCATTGTTTTGATTTCAACACATTGTTCAATACATTGCATTCGTTCGAGTACGAGAAACGGTGTCGGTGGTAGCAGCACCGCTAACGCTCCCCCTCCGCTCCTCGCCACAGGCAAGCCCAGCATCTACGGCGAGACGATGTTCCCCGAGGGTCTGGACAAGATCCGTCAGTTGGAGGACAAGCCAGAGCGGGTGCGCCATGTTCCCGAGGAGTTCTACAGGAAGCCCGTGTGGACGACGCCGCTGGAGAACGTCGACAACCTCGTAGAGGGCGGCGTCGCTCACCTGAGCGGACGCGTCGAGCCGCTCAACGACCCCAACCTGAAGGTCGAGTGGTACTTCAACGGAGAGCCACTCGTGGCCGGTACGTGACTTCCACCCCCTGGCGGCTGATCGCTGATGTTAAACTGTTACAAAACACTAACACTGGCCGAATACGACCTGTGCTTTTCTCATTTACAAATAGAAATTAGAGAAGAATGAAGACGGAAATTAGAATAGAATCAGAGTTAGAAATTACTTATAATGTTACGAAACACTAACCGAAGCCCACGTGTTTGCATTTTCCGGGCACGAGGTACATGACATGCGAATAAAAATTAGAGTTCACAAAACACGGTTACAAACCAAAACCTTCGCACGCTCGCGTTTTCACAGGCACGCGGTACACGAGGTACGAATCGAATTAGAGTTAGAGATTAGTTTAAACGGTTACAAACTAAAACCTTCGCCGCCCGCATCTTTCAGGCACGCGCTACTCGACGACGTTCGACTTTGGCTACGCGGGTCTCGACATCAACAACGTGCAGCCCGAGCACACGGGCGTCTACATGGCGCGCGCCTACAACGCTGTCGGCGAGGCGCTCACCACGGCGACGGTGAAGTGCGCTGGCATGCCGAGCATCTACACAGGCCCGCTGCACCCGGAGGGACTCGACCAGATACAGATGCTGGAAGCGGACAAGGAGCCGCAGGCGCGCTACGTGCCAGAGACGGCGAAGGAGCCTCCGCGCTTCCTCACGCAGCTGCAGCACCTGCCGAACCTCGTCGAGGGAGACCACGCGCACTTCGAGGCGCGCCTCGTGCCGATCAATGATCCGGAGCTCGTCGTCGAGTGGTACCACGACGGACAGCCCGTCGAAGCCGGTGAGATGCTTGGTCGGTGTTTGATGGTTTATAGCGTGGCTCTTCAACGTTTAGTTGGTGTTTGGCGGTTTATAGTGAGACACTACAACGTTTAGTTGATGTTTGACCGTTAATTGCGTGGCTCTGTAACGTTTAGTCGGTGTTGATGGTTTATAACATGGCACTTCAACGTTTAGTTGATGTTTATGGTTTATAGCATGGCTCTTCAACGTTTAGTTGGTGTTTGGCGATTTATAGCATGGCACTTCAACGTTGGTGTTTGACTCGGTTTGTAGCGTGGCTCTTCAACGTTTAGTTGGTATTTGAAGATGTAAGTAAGTAAGTAGTAAATGCTAGAAAATGTTAGCATCTATAAGGTATGCCAAATTGTTGATTTCCCTCTCGTGTAATTATAAGTAGGCACTATCCAGCTCTTGGAAGGCATCCACACCATCCTTCTACGAAAAAACTTGTGCTTTTAAATAATCAAGCCTTGTTTTTTTATTTTAGCTTCTCGAGTCAAGATGATTCACGACTTTGGCTTTGTTGTTCTGGAGATTGAGGGAGTTAACCCGGAAGACTCCGGGGAATATGTCTGCAGAGCCTACAACCCACAGGGAGAAGACACTACAACCGGATCTCTGACTGCACAACGTATGTTATACCTGTTTATTTAGAATTATTGCTATTATTATCATTGTTGTTGTTGTTGTTGTTGTTGTTGTTGTTGTTGTTGTTGTTGTTGTTGTTGTTGTTGTCATTGTTGTTGTTGTTGTTATGTGGTTCTTATGACTCAAACTGTTAGCAGTTGTTCATTTAAGAGTAGGGGAGTCCCTGTTCACACTCATAATATAGCACGATGTAGCACCTACTGATTAGATGGGTTCTTGGTCGTTTTTATGCAGGGATGAGGTAGCGAAGAAATATAATAGTATTGACTGTCATAACAGGGCAAGCTCTGAGTGGTGGAAATTAAATCATAGTAACTGAAAAATTGATTTACCGAGCAAGCAATCTACTGATTGGTGTCATCTAAAACACACCTCCTTTGGCCTTGCACTACATACATCTATCATCTATCAGTTTTTGTCTGGATGCCATGCCGTAAAACCACTTTCTTTCAATGACATATTATATGACGGAGCAAAGTACACATCAATGTGTCATGTTTACTCGAGTGAACAAACAGTGATGTTATCGCAATCAGCAATACATATTAGCATATGTAGCTGCATGGACAACATAACGTGAACGATGTGTCGGCGGAGCACAGTGAACGTGCGTACGTGGGGTGTACGTTGTAGTGGAAATGGTTTTACAATAACATTGCACCATAGGACCACTTAATCGATACCAGAAAGAACTGTGGCCGCTGCGCTGTGAGCAGTAGATGCAAGCAAAATTAGATGAAATCACTGTGATGTGCTGAAACGGAGCTAGAAAAAATAGCGTTGTTGTTCGTGACACTTGCAGCAAAGTCGGCGATCGTGACGAGCACCAACTTGCCAGAGCATCAGCGACTGGTTGAGAAGATCAAGGAGATGGAAGACGATTCGGCATTGCGCTTTGCTAGGGAGCCGTCTGCAGAGAAGGAATTGCAGCCACCAAAGTTCATCACCGAACTGCAGACCTATCTCGACCTGACTGTGAGTACTATTATCGTTTAGATGCTATTTTCGAAGCAGCCCGAGTTGATTTCAGTTTGATTTTGTTAAGGTTTATAAATTTGGAGATCAGAAGTTGAGCCGATTCTATTGTAAAACGAGTGGTTAATTTTCTGCTTTCAGGAGGGTGAGAGTGTCCATCTTGAAGCCAGACTGGAACCACTTAATGATCCAACTCTGGAAGTTGAGTGGTTCTTCAACGGTGAACCACTAGAAGCAAGTACGTACTCATTGGAAATAGATTTCGCACATAGACAAATAACAGTGCATGACCTCTGTGGGTGTGGCAATATAAATAAAAACTGGGTTTTATGAGAGTTATTTATTACGATGTATGTTACATATGTTAAGCATGTTACAATGTTACTGAATCGTCATTCCGATTGCTTCTTCCAGGTCACAGGTTCAGAACAATCCACGACTTTGGCTTTGTCGTACTGGAGGTACAGTTCCTGCTGCCCGAGTACACGGGAGAATACATGTGCAGGGCCAGGAACCCTGCCGGAGAGGACATGACCAAATGCGAGCTGAAAATCGCACGTAAGTGTCTCACGTAAATTGAAACCTGTGTTAGCCGTCGCCGCTACGCATGGGACAGTTATCTACGTTTTTGAATCAGATGTTGGTCACCTGGTCGGTCAGTCGATCAATCGATTGTTCGACGTTATGCATGAAATGTACTTCACGGGAGTAGGATTTCACATAATAAAAACTAATCTGACTCCACACAAACACTTTAAATTGATTCCTATAATAATATATAATATAGTTTTTAAATTTTTAAATTATTTTTAATATTATTGTGTTGTTATTATGTGTTATTTTACTTTCACGTTGTAAAGACTAATCTACAGTGAATCGGTTTCCTATTCGTGAGATTACACAGTCTCGTGACATTACTCGTGTCTCTACACAGCAAAGCTGAGCATTCTCAGCCAGACGAATCTACCCGATCAGCAGAGAATCGCCGACAAGATCAACGACCTCGAGGCGTCGCTTGCTCCCGGTCCGAGCATGCCGGGCGAAGGAGAGTTTGTGCCGAGAGAACCTCCGCGTTTCATCACGCAGCCCGACAACGTGGACATACACGAGAATGACTCGGCTCACTTTGAGGCACGCTTGGAGCCCATCAACGACCCGACGGTGCAGATTGAGTGGTTCTTGAACAACGAGCCACTAGAAGCCAGTGAGTGATTCAGTGCCTTGCGTTAATTGTCGTGAGGTCTTAGGCGTTTTAGCGATGTAGTTGGTTGGTGGTTATTGAACAAACGGGTGGCTGAAAGTTTGTGGACAAGACATTTGCGAAGTACGTAACACAGTGTAGCGACAGCGTTCACAACGTATGGGCTTGTAGTATCTACTTTGTATTTCGCATAGTGGCTACGAGTGGTAGCAAGATCACTTATATATATATTCCATGTATTCATTATTGTGCTTTGTCTTTCTGCATTTTTTAGTTTTTTAGTTTAGATTTTGAGAGGCACGATTAAAACGATTATTGCGAAATTTTTGCTCAGAAAAACTAAATAAAGCTGAATATATTCTCACCTGACAGCGGAAATATCACTGATTACACCAACATTAAAAATACTAAGATTTTATGCAGTTATAGCATAGAAAAATGGATTTGACCACATCGTAACAGCAATAAATTTTATCGTATGCCGATAATGCATAATGGCAGAATTGGTAAACTTGTATTTGTGTCGGTGATGAATTGAAAACAAGTGCATGCCTGTACTATGTCTATGGCAGATAAGCGGTGGTGCCACAATCTAATCCATACTTCCTGTTAGTTCAAAATGGCAGAAAACGAATGTTTACAAAAACGATTAGTTCGAAACTGGCAGTTTTCGGTGAATATGAAGGTTACATTTTATTGTTACTCTAGACAATTGCTGTTACTAAAGCAATAACGGTAGGTGTCATGAAAGTGGTGGAAACACTGGAAAACTCTCGCAATGGTTACTTTATACTTATTTTTCCTTAATTTACTCTTTGTTCTACTCTTTGTACTACTCCTTTATTTTTGTATAATTTTTCACACTCTAGTTTTTCCGTTTACAGGTCACAGACACAAGGGAATACACGACTTTGGTTTTGTCATCTTGGATATCAGCAACTGCTTCCCGAGGGACACTGGTGAATATGTCTGCAGGGCATGGAATGACATTGGAGAGGACTTTGCTCGCGCAACACTGAAATGCGGCGATGACCTTACAGGTCAACCACCGTGGTTCACGCAGGAGTTGATGCCAATCGAAGGCTTGAACGAGGGAGACAGTGGCCACTTTGAGGGCCGCGTAGAGCCGTCCAAGGATCCAGATCTGAGAACAGAATGGTTTTTCAACGGAAAGCCCGTCAGGAGCGGTAAGCGTTTACGTATTGTCTCACACGTTTCTATGCAGAACCACACGAAAAGAGATTCATGTTTGTAAATGTACTTGGGTGCTGTGCAATCTTCTTTTGTCAGTCTTCTTTTGTCAATCTTCTTTTTTCGACCTTCTTTTGTGGCTCTTCTTTTGTTTACCTTCTTTTGTCAATCTTCTTTTGTCAATCTTCTATTGTTGATCTTCATTTGTCAATCATCACGTTGTCCTCTCTTCACCTCTCCCAAAAGGTCACCGCTTCAAGACGATCCTCGACTTTGGCTTCACGATCCTCGACATCAACCCCGTCTACCCGGAGGACCAGGGCGAGTACGTGTGCCGCGTCTACAACAAGTACGGCGAGGCGTTCTCGCGCGCGCCGCTCTCCTGCTCGGGCAAGCGCAACGTCATCTACGACACGCAGCTGCCGCCGGGCATGGAGGAGGCGATGAACAAGATCCAGGATCTCGACAACGCGCCAAAGTACCCGGGGCCGGCCGCACCCGAGGAGGTCGCCGGACAGCCGCCGGAGTTCATCGTGCCGCTCAACGACATCACGGATCTGACCGAGGGAGATAGCTGTCACAACGAAGCCAGGGTGATCCCGGTCGGTGACCCCGACCTGTACGTCGAGTGGTTCTTCAACGGGGAGCCGCTAACGATCGGTACGAGTCGACCGGCGTTTGAATCGCAGACGTCATTGTTTTTTGTTTTTTGATTTTTGTTTTAAACGCATTTTGTCGAAGAGCACCTGTGTTGTTCCTGCATTGCCATGTCGTTTTTTTTATATATACGTCTATGTGAAAAATTCAGAATACTTTTATAAATTTAATTAATTAAATAAAATCCATTTCAAATGAAAATGCTGTATATACGCTTATACATGCTTATGCTGTTTATAGGCAGCAGATTTAAGACCGTCTTTGACTTTGGCTTTGTGACGATCGACATCTCACCAGTATATGACGAGGACACTGGCGAATACAAGTGTGTTGCTACCAACAAGTACGGTCAGGCCGAGACAAAGGCAATTATCAAGTGTACACGTAAGTATTATTTTTTCATGACACCGTTTATATTTTTTCTGCTTACAAAAGCAAAAATTGATAAACTAACCTATGCTATTTGATGAAATGTAAAATTTGCATTAAATTTTCTAGAATTTTCAGTATATAATAATGACTTTTAGTAAATAAGAATGACTTTCAGTAAATAAGGATGACTTTCTTTAACAGCAAAGACAGCATTGCTCATGGACACACAGCTTCCAGAGAGCATGAGGGCAGGTATGCAGAAGATAAAAGATTTGGAGGATGCCATGGATAGGCCAAAACACCCAGAAGAGCCGGCAGATGCAGGCGAACCACCGAAGTTTATCGTCCCTCTAACAAGTCCAGGTATGCTTCTTCATCTAAATTATTAGTCACATTTTTTATTTACACTTGTTTTAAGAATAAACATGATAATATTTTTAACCGTGCCGATGTATTTTAGGTCGAATTTAAATATTAAAGGTCCTAAAATGACGCTAGAAAAGTTCGAGTGAGAATTTTGTAACTAAATATGCTAATAAGTAATATTATACTATTCTTTGCTTCTACAGTTGTAACAGAGGGTGCACCAGCTCACCTTGAAGCCAGACTTGTGCCAATTGGAGACCCAACTATGAGAGTGCACTGGTTCCGCAATGGAGAACCATTCAATCTAGGTATGTTTTACTTTGCACTTTTGGTAGTATTTTTTGAGTTTCCCTAGTGAAAACCAAATTCATTCTGAGGACACTGTTCCATATTTTCTCTCTAGCAAAGGAAACCACAGATCTATATATAGCATGTTACGGTCAACTCTAAACTCCAAACGTACGCCATCAAAACCGATTCTCACGTTAAACCAGACGATTTTTTGAGTTCCAAGACCATCTGAGACATGTAAGATATGCATGGAATAGGTCCCCTATAAATCGAACTGACTATTGTGATAATTATCTCTCTTACAGGCACTCGATTAACGACAATGTATGACTTCGGACTCGTATGGTTGGACATTAACCCTGCATGGCCAGAGGATGTTGCCGAGTATACGTGTGTTGCCATTAACAAGTGGGGACAGGACCAGACTACAGGAAATCTCAGTGTAACACCCATCCAGGAAGTTGGCGAGCCGCCAAAGTTTGTCACTCAGCTGCCAACAGTTGGTAAGACATCTATGCACGATCCAGATTATCCGTTGCAGCGCAAACATTATCCTTTTAACACTTACTCACTTAATTAAATTCGATTGCAGACTGTAGCGCATGGATGCGGGTTTGTAGTTATTTCGCTTGGACACAGTCAGTAGAAACTGAGCTCATGTGGTGTCGTGATAGATTGGTTACATAGACCGCTCTCATGTGTTTTGTGTAGATGTACCAGAGGGTGATGTCACTCACCTAGAGGCGAAGCTCATACCAGTCGGAGATCCAACCATGAGAGTGACGTGGTTCTTCAATGGAGAACCACTCCATGTCGGTATGTCCAAATATCATTACCATCTGCAGCAGTTTCCAAAAAGGTGTTATTAGTATTGTGATGAATATGATTGCATTCCCGTCCTATAATGATAACAATAAAGTCACACAGTTAAGCTTGTGCGCTGTGTATTGCCTCACATTTATGTCGTGAATACATTTAGTTACAGCACAGTCCTGCATGCGAGCTGTAAAATCTTGCTTTTTGTATGCAGCCGGTCTAGATTATCTGAGGAAAAGGTGTTATATGAAGCGGTTACGTCAGTGGGGTATGCAGTACAGATGTACAAATATCAGTCCCTTTCTGTGGTGTAATTCTAAGCTCTGGTGGCTCTCAGAAATCTATTTACTTTAGGGTCAATTTATTACCTGTATTTTAATAGTAGTTACACACCCTTTCACTCACTACTATCACTTACTAACATTCTATGTGTGTCTTGTAAATTTACGACATGGTGACGCGGTCTGTTTTGAACCTTATCTTACTATCTCATAAATCTCTCAGTACTTGGTGGTGGGATCTGTTGTGATTTATTTATCTGTACGTTTATATCATGAACTTGTGTTCAATATGTGTTTAGTAGATTTACAACATGGACTCTTATGAAACTTAATTACCTCATGTCTCTATCAGTTCTTGGTGGTGGGATCTGTTTTGGGTCATGTTCTATATGTTTTATAAAACCTGAATTCTGTTTATTTGTCTTGCGAGTATAAGCTTAATATCGTAAATATTATGTGTCCAGGCACTGTTGGCTTGAATGGTTAGATCATTATTGCATTATACATTATGCACTGTTGATAAACAAATAATTGTATACGTGGTTATTAACTAATACCACTCACGTTGTGTTAAGTGTGCCTTTAAGAAATTGATTTCTACGGTACAGCATGTGTCAATTATCGATTCACCAATTTTTCTCCATTCGCATGTCACTGTAAAGTGTGCGTATCTTAGACCAATAATTCGTCTCCTAGAAAGTTATATAATCTGACGCTATTTTAGGATTTCGCACCTAGTATGGCTTCAGCTTATAACAAATTTTCAGGGTGCAATTCATCGGTCTACGCGCATCGATTCTGCAATACATTTTGCGTTTGTTTCGCGGCGTCGTGTGTAGGAAGCAGATTCGTGACGGAGTACGACATCGGTCTCGTGAAGCTGGACGTCTCACCAACGTGGCCGGAGGATGTCGGCGAGTACAAGTGCGTCGCCACCAACAGATGGGGCCAGGACGAGACGGTCGGAGCGGTCAACATCATACCCGCAGTCGAGAAGGGCGAACCGCCGAAGTTTGTCACGCAGCTGCCGACTCCAGGTTTGTGCGCGCGTGCCCACGCATCAGTCTTTGAAGCGAACGTCTGTGCTGAGCGTGAGATGTTGCGGGGGAATGGGGAATAGCCTTGAGAGCGGTTATCGTGAGCTGTCGTGTTAATTACGCATGTTGTGTGCTGCAGAGGTCATGGAAGGTCAGCCAACCCACCTTGAAGCACAACTGGTTCCGGTCAATGATCCAACGATGAATGTGCAATGGTTCTTCAAGGGAGAGCCTCTCATCTCGGGTAGGCTTTACTATCATGATACATACCTATAATACTGTTAATATATTACAAACATGTATATATGAATTAACATATATATATATATATAATTGTGATATTGCGAGATTTATTCTGAGAGATGGCATTGCGATGAGTAGGATATGAAAGAGTGAAAGAGAGTTAATTCTGCTAGGTTTCGCATTATGTATATTTTGGGTTTTATAGGCACCAAGTATATACCAAAGTATGACTTTGGACTCGTTGAACTGGACATTACTCAAACCTGGCCTGAAGATGTTGGTGAATACAAGTGTGTTGCTGTGAACAAGTGGGGCATGGATGAGACAGCAGGTGGACTCAATGTGAAGCCTAGTCCTGAAAGGGGAGAACCACCCAAGTTCACGACGCAACTCCAACGACCTGGTAAGCATCATGGGTTAATTTACCATAATCATAATGAAGAAGAGATAAAAAATGTGACTTCGAAAGTGAAATATAATAGTTATAGTACACGAATTTTGATGTGCATTCCACGAGATATCTAGCTGTGTGTGAAAGTAAATCATTTGAACTATTTTATGCAAATTTGTTTTCTGTATTCATGTAGTTGTACCAGAAAACACACCAGCACACTTGGATGCCAAACTGATACCAATTAACGATCCAACCATGGTTGTTGCATGGTTCTTCAACGGGAAACCTCTTCCAACTGGTATACGTACTATTCGTAATATGCATGTGATCTCGTAAAAATTGGGAATATCTTTTGAGTGTAATGCTCTTTCACAAAACACTAATCATGTGCATGTCTTAATATAATAAAAATATGTGAAGACAAGAATCTTGTCCATTGACATTAATTGTCCATTTCGTGGATTAGTGCTACATGCCAATGTAATTGCATTTGTTATAAAGTTTACAGAGGTCTACTCATTGAGGTTCTATTGCCTGTATTGACACTAAAAATCTCCAATCATTAGGTACAAAATACAGAACCAACCTTGACTTTGGACATGTTGAAATGGACATTACTCAAACCTGGCCTGAAGATGTTGGGGAATACAAGTGTGTTGCTGTAAACAAGTATGGCAGGGATGAAACAACAGGTGGCCTAGCATTGATGCCTAGTCCTGAAAGGGGAGAACCACCCAAGTTCCGACGCAACTCCAACGACCTGGTAAGCATCGTGGGGTTAATTTACCATAATCATAATGAAGAAGAGATAAGAAATGTGACTTTGAAGGGAAATAATAAATAGTTATAGTATGTATGGTACACGAATTTTGATGTGCATTCCACGAGATATCTAGCTGTGTGGGAAAGTGAATCATTTGAATTATTTTATGCAAATTTGTTTTCTGTATTCATGTAGTTGTACCAGAAACACACACCAGCACACTTGGATGCCAAACTGATACAATTAACGATCCAACCATGGTTGTTGCATGGTTCTTCAACGGGAAACCTCTTCCAACTGGTATACTATTCGTAATATGCATGTGATCTCGTAAAAATTGGGAATATCTTTGTGTAATGCTCTTTCACAAAACACTAATCATGTGCATGTCTTAATATAATAAAAATATGTGAAGACAAGAATCTTGTCCATTGACATTAATTGTCCATTTCGTGGATTAGTGCTACATGCCAATGTAATTGCATTTGTTATAAAGTTTACAGAGGTCTACTCATTGAGGTTCTATTGCCTGTATTGACACTAAAAATCTCCAATCATTAGGTACGAAATACAGAACCAACCTTGACTTTGGACATGTTGAAATGAGCATTACTCAAACCTGGCCTGAAGATGTTGGGGAATACAAGTTGTTTGCTGTAAACAAGTATGGCAGGGATGAAACAACAGGTGGCCTAGCATTGATGCCTAGTCCTGAAAGGGGAGAACCACCCAAGTTCACGACGCAACTCCAACGACCTGGTAAGCATCGTGGGTTAATTTACCATAATCATAATGAAGAAGAGATAAGAAATGTGACTTTGAAAGTGAAATATAATAGTTATAGTACGGTACACGATATTTGATGTGCATTCCACGAGATATCTAGCTGTGTGGGAAAGTGAATCATTTGAATTATTTTATGCAATTTTGTTTTCTGTATTTATGTAGTTGTACCAGAAAACACACCAGCACACTTGGATGCCAAACTGATACCAATTAACGATCCAACCATGGTTGTTGCATGGTTCTTCAACGGGAAACCTCTTCCAACTGGTATACTATTCGTAATATGCATGTGATCTCGTAAAAATTCGGAATATCTTTGTGTAATGCCCTTTCACAAAACACTAATCATGTGCAATTTTTAATATAATAAAATATGTGAAGACAAGAATCTTGTCCACTGACATTAATGGTTCATTTCGTGGATTAGTGCTACATGCCGATGTAATTGCATTTGTTATAAAGTTCACAGTGGTCTACTCATCGAGGTTCTATTGCTTGTATTGACACTAAAAATTTCCAATCATCAGGTACGAAATACAGAACAAACTATGACTTTGGATTCGTTGAAATGGACATTCCTCAAACCTGGCCTGAAGATGTTGGTGAATACAAGTGTGTTGCTGTAAACAAGTATGGCAGGGATGAAACAACAGGTGGCCTAGCATTGATGCCTAGTCCTGGAACTGGAGAACCACCCAAGTTCACGACGCAACTCAACGACCTGGTAAGCATCGTGGGTTAATTTACCATAATCATAACGAAGAAAAGATAAAAAATGTGACTTCGAAAGTGAAATATAATAGTTATAGTACACGAATTTTGATGTCCATTTCACGAGATATCTAGGTGTGTCGGAAAGTTAATCATTTGAATTATTTTATGCAATTTTGTTTTCTGTATTCATGTAGTTGTACCAGAAAACACACCAGCACACTTGGATGCCAAACTGATACCAATTAACGATCCAACCATGGTTGTTACATGGTTCTTCAACGAGAAACCTCTTCCAACTGGTATACGTACTATTCGTAATATGCATGTGATCTCGTAAAAATTGGGAATATCTTTGTGTAATGCCCTTTCACAAAACACTAATCATGTGCAATTTTTAATATAATAAAAATATGTGAAGACAAGAATCTTGTCCACTGACATTAATGGTTCATTTCGTGGATTAGTGCTACATGCCGATGTAATTGCATTTGTTATAAAGTTCACAGTGGTCTACTCATCGAGGTTCTATTGCCTGTATTGACACTAAAAATTTCCAATCATCAGGTACGAAATACAGAACAAACCATGACTTTGGATTCGTTGAAATGGACATTCCTCAAACCTGGCCTGAAGATGTTGGTGAATACAAGTGTGTTGCTGTAAACAAGTATGGCAGGGATGAAACAACAGGTGGCCTAGCATTGATGCCTAGTCCTGGAACTGGAGAACCACCCAAGTTCACGACGCAACTCCAACGACCTGGTACGCATCGTGGGTTAATTTACCATAATCATAACGAAGAAAAGATAAAAAATGTGACTTCGAAAGTGAAATATAATAGTTATAGTACACGAATTTTGATGTCCATTTCACGAGATATCTAGGTGTGTGGGAAAGTTAATCATTTGAATTATTTTATGCAATTTTGTTTTCTGTATTCATGTAGTTGTACCAGAAAACACACCAGCACACTTGGATGCCAAACTGATACCAATTAACGATCCAACCATGGTTGTTACATGGTTCTTCAACGAGAAACCTCTTCCAACTGGTATACGTACTATTCGTAATATGCATGTGATCTCGTAAAAATTGGGAATATCTTTGTGTAATGCCCTTTCACAAAACACTAATCATGTGCAATTTTTAATATAATAAAAATATGTGAAGACAAGAATCTGTCCACTGACATTAATGGTTCATTTCGTGATTAGTGCTACATGCCATGTAATTGCATTTGTTATATAAAGTTCCACAGTGGTCTACTCATCGAGTGTCTATTGCCTGTATTGACACTAAAAATTTCCATTATCACGGTAACGAAATACAGAACAAACATGACTTTGGATCGTTGAAATGGACATTCCTCAAACCGCCTGAAGATGTGGTGAATACAGTGTAA